GGCTCCAGGGGCAGAAGCCAGTGCCCACCCACCCTGGGGCTGGATGTCACAAATGTGGTCAGCTTGGGGGCTCTGGTATTGATGGATGGAGCGTATCCTTCAGTCTCCTTTAAAAGAGAGGCTGGTTGTCCTGGCCAGTTTGACTCAGCGGTTGGAGCATCAGCCTGTGGACCAGAGAGTCCTGGGTTTGGTTCCCGCTAGGGGCATGTACCAAAAAAAAAAAAAAAAAAAAAAAGAATGAAAAGAGAGGCTGGTGCCAGGGGCTGTGGATGTCCTGTCCTGCCAGGGGCCTGCCTGGGAGCCTGCCTGTCATGGTGGAAACAGCAGAGGGAGGTCTATTGTGGGGAGTCTGCTGGGCTCTTCTGGGCCCTGGCCGGCTGCATTCTTCCCAGGAGGGCTGAGCTCCGCACTGCCTGCTGGGTCTGGAAGCCTGGCACAGGGGGCTTCCCAGGCTGGGCACGGCTCAGCCTCGCTGGGGCTGGAGCTCCTCGGGAGGAGGTCAGAGAGTCGCCCAGTCTCAGCCCTGCACCTCCCTTGGGGCTCCCAGCCTACCTCCTTTCTCTGTCACGTGTCATCAGCCCTGGAGCTGACTGACGGCTGTTGCTTACAATTCTCGATGTTTCCACGTCTGTGATTCCATTGAGCTCCCACAAGCCGCGTTCTTCCGTTCGTTCCACAAACACAGTGGTTGTTAGCATCAGGCCCCTTAACTGCAGAGCATGTCAAGCCCGAGGCCCTGCTGTCCTCAACAAGTTCAAGTTCGGTGAAGCAGGGCAGAGATTCGCGCCATGTAACGGGGAGGAGGAGGCCGGGGAGGGCAGCTGGATGCCAACACCATTTGCAGCCCCTGCCCAGTGGGTCCCATCAGTCTCCAGAGGTTCCACTGCTGGGACTGGGCCATGAAAACTGGCAACATTTTGTTTTAGAGCTGAAAGGGTAGAGAGTGGGATGTTGCTAATTCCCTCCCATTCTTGGCTAGAGCGCCTGACTGCCTCCAGAACCGGAGGCCCAGTCCATTACTGTCAATGTCATGTCCTGCCCTGTGGTGTTTCATGGACCCTGGTCCAGGATTGGGGGCTCTGTCTCAGGCGACGAGGATGAGTCTGGGTGAGGCTCGAGGCCAGCACCCTGGAAGGGAGCCTGAAGTTGGCTGCAGCCACCGGTGGTGAGAGGGTTAACTGCTGGCCACCAGCTGCTGACCCCTCCCTGGCCGGAAGGCTGCAGCAGGTGGGGCTGGGCGGAGTCACGAGGTCCAGCTGCTCTCCGCTCAGTGTCCAAGATCGTTAATAACCAAGAACTGGACAGACAATTAAAAGCCAAACATGGAACTGAACCTGCTGTTGGCTGGCTCCAGGGAGGTGCCAATCCTGCTCCTGGGGCCAGGCTCTTGGCTGCCTCGTTCCTTCTCTAGGAATGAATTCTGGGGACAAGTGAGCCCTACGGGAGGTAGGGGCAGGAAGATGCCTTCTGCAGGTTCAGAGCTGGCTGGGCCTGGCTTCCCAGCCTCCTGCTGGGACCATAGGAAGGATCCTGCGCTGTCAAAGGGAAGGGACAAGGTCTGGCAGGAGAGAGGAGGGAGCGGACGGTGTCACAGAGGCTGCAGATGTTCGGTCATAAACAAGGGCCTGTGCAGCGAACAGCTAGCTGAGTCCCCCCAGACAGACACTCTAGTGCTGGTTTGTTCTCGGTGGGACGCAGGAGAGGCTCTTAGTCACCAGTCTCAGGAACAGGACATCTTTACTATCTCACCCTGTTCCCTCCTGCTGCTGTTGCTGTTCCCTTGTCTGTCGTTACTGAGCAGCTCATGGTCCACACCACCTTCTTCCTGGGAGCCAGGTGTGTGTGGGGGGAGGGGGCGTAGAGCTTAGAAATGAACAGTCGTGCGCCCAGCTGGTGTGGCTCACTGGCTGAGTATCCACCCACGCACCCAGAGGTCGCAGGTTTGATTCCCAGTCGGGGCACATGCCCAGGTTGTGGGCCCAATCCCCAGTGGGGGACATGCAGGAGGCGGCTAATCAGTATTCTCTCTTCCTCAAATCAATAAAGAACAAAAGGAAGGAAAGAAGGAACGGAGGAAGGGAGAGAGGAAAGAACAGGTGTGACGTCCTTGGGCAGGGGATCTGGCTCTGTCTGGCTCTTTGAAAGGGGACGGCTGTCCTTAAACTTCCTGAGGGGGCGGGGAATCAGAGACCACCCCCCCCCAAAGAGCCCTCTAGATCCTGAAGAATTCATTTCCTGTTCCCCTGGTAGCAGGCAGATGCCACCAGACTTGACTAATTAAGAGGCTATGAAACCAATTAGGCGCCCGGGGACCCAAATGGGGTGTGTGTGTGTGTGTGTGTCTTCAGTGTGCGGGGCCTGTGGCTACCAGGGCAGTCATGGCTATGTGACAAGAAGCCAGTGCCAGCACAGGGCAGCTTTATTGAGCACTGTGTGCCAGCACTAAGCTCAGTACTTCAGTTCCCCACCCGCCGGCGATACAGGTCCCCTTGGCCCTTGTTACAAATGGCGGGAGGACTCGGGCTCACGGCCTGCGAACGGCAGGGCCCACTTCTAGGCACACACTCGTGATCCCCCGGGACGCCACAGGGCGCCACCAAGGTCCACGCGGAAAGTTCCCAGCACTGGGCCTGGCGCAAGGCAGGCGCTCAGACGTGACTTCTCCCCTTCTCCAGCTGAAACCACGAGCCCCGGCAGAGCTCCCTCCTGCAGGCCTGCATCTGGCTCTTGGAAGAGTCGGCTCTTCAGTGGCATCAGCATGGCGTGGCCAGGCATCTGTCCCGCCCAGGAGTCCGGCCTCCAGACGGGCTGGGGGTCAGCCTCCCGCTTGCCCGTGGCCTCTTCCCCCTTGAGCTGGTTTCCTCTGAGGTGGGGGCAGCCCCCGTCCTCCCACCTGAGTCGCCCCAGCCTGTTGCTGAGGCCGCTCCCGGCCCCCATGTGATGAGAACAGCCGTGTGGCTGAGAGCCTGGCGAGGTGCCCACTGCCCCCCTCCCAGCAGTGCCTCCCAGCCTGTCACCTGCCATCTGCCCCATCCAGAGCCCGAAGCCGTCTCTCTGGCCTCAGGTGAGGGACAGGCAGGAGCTGCTGGCACGAAGCCCCGGGCTGCGGCGGGGTCGAGGCAGAGAACGCAGCTCCCACCTTGACCGGGCCTGACCTGGGCCAGGCTGGGGCAGGGCGGCGGCTGATGTCGGGAAGGCTGCCGAGTCCTCCTTCTGCACAGCGAGGCTGTACCTGGGCCGGGCAGGCCAGCGACCTCTCTGCCCTCCCACCACCAACCCCCGGGGCCCCTCTGTAAAACAGACCATGACCCAAATGCCCGCCTCACCAGCCTGATGCAAAAAAGCACAAATGAGCATCGCCGGGGACAGGCCCTCCCCCCGGCCCCAAGCTCTCAGCAGCAGCGGGAGGCAACCCCATCTGACCTCCGGCGGGAAAGACAGCAGGTGAACACGGAGCACAGGGACCAGACAGTGGCGACGGGGAGCACCCGGCTTGCCATCGTGATGTGGGCACCTCGGGCCAACTCCCTCCGGGACTAGGACTGCCCGCTCAGAGGGGAATGCAGCCACCAGACGCCACCGCCGTGGCTCCAGACTGTCACATAAATCAACCTGGGCTTCATGATGCTAATCAATTCACATCCAGAGTTTGGTGTGGAGCCTGGGGAAGCGAGATGATTTAATTTGCTTTGTCCTTAGGCAAAGGGAATGTAATTGGAGAAGAGTAAGTACAGATGTTTTGCGTTTTCAGCAAACAGCTTGGCTCCAGGGAGGGTCCGAGCCACGGGGGCTGGCCCACCTCAGGGCCCTCCCAGCTCTGCCACCTCAGGGGGGCCCCTGGAAAGAAGCCACAATGGCAGGTGGAGAGAGGGCGCCTATTTTTCAGGTGAATGGGAAACAATGACGCACAGGGACAAGATAAGTGAAGACATGGGACCACAGTGAGACAGCAGGTCAGGTCACACGGTTCTCACAGGCTGGGGCTGCTGGGGCCAACGGGGGTGTGTGTGTGCTGCCTGTAGACTTCCCACGTTTCTGCAAGTCCCGTGAGTCCTCTGCCCTCCCAAGACCACTGGGGCCCCAGGACACAGTGTCACCACTGTCCAAGGTATGAGCCGGTGCCGCGTGGGGGGGGGGCAGCAGAGGTTCCCTAATGAGGGCTGAGCAAGGCACTGAAATCAAGGAGGGGGCAGGGGCCTGAGAGCCCACCCCAGGAGGCAGCTCCTGGCCCAGCTGCTCTGGGCTCTAGGCCAGGCGGGCCAGGCCTAGGGCCGGGCAGCCAGGAACAGAAGGAACTGCAGGTCCCAAGGCAGAAGGCACACTGAAAATGCAGTCCATCGGTCACCTTTCCGAGGAAGGCTGCCCGAAGGTGCAAGCATGATTGTGACGGGGAGGGGATCCCGGAGAGCTGGCGAGGTGGGTGGGAACATGACCCTCCTTCCACGGGAACGGGGGCCGGTGCTCCATCACACCCCACGGCGCCCAAGGGGCACGCAGGGTGTGAACCCTGAACTCCCCCAGCCTGGCTGGACGGGGAGATACCATCAGTGCTGCAGCAGGGCCAGGGGTGCCACGGAGGCTGCTCGCTGCTACAGGCCCGGGCGCTCCCGCACTGTGGTGGCGGGTGGGGTAGCTCCCTTAGTGGCCCTTATACACTGCCCCCCACACTGCAGGAGGCCCCAGGGCCCTAGCGGGGCAGAGAGCAGAGATCCCTCCAGGGGTCACAGCCCGGGGCTTTAAGCCAGCTTTAAGCCAGGGGTGCCCCGTGGAAGGGCTGCTTTGGGGTCCTCATGGTGCAGGAGCTCAGAGCGGGAGCTGGCGCCCACAGCGGGGCCTCACAGCTCTGGTCTGGGGACCCGTGCCAACTAGCACCTCCCGCTCTTGTCACCAGGGCAGGCCAGGCCCCTCCCTGGCAGGCCCAGCGGGGGGCGGGGGGCGGGGGCCGGGGTTCACCCTGAGGAGGCTGCTCCTGGTGCAGCAGATTTCCCAGACAAGGGCGTGGAGGGGCTGGGCGGGAGGAGGCGACGAGGTGACTGGTATAAATAGGGCAGTGCCACGGTGCGGCTCCACCGTGCAGGGAGAGGAGCCCACCCGGTGCCGGGGTGGAGGGGTATGTGCACAGAGCAGAGGGGTCAGTTCCAGGAGCCAGTCCTGGGACCTGGGAGAGCCGCGTGCCCGGTGTGTGCTCAGCTGGCCGGGGTCAGCCCAGGCGGGAGGGCCCGGGCGGAGGCCACACGGACAGTGACGTGAGGTTCCGGCTGTGCGGAGGGAGCCGGGGAAGGGACACGTTTCCCAGCTGGAGATGTGCAGGGTCCCCTCCCCGAGCCTGGGCCTTGCCTGCCGAGGGAGACCCGGGAGGCACTAGCCACAGCTCTGCAGGTGCAGGGACGCGACGGGCCAGGCCGGGGCCCTCGCCCTCCGGCAGCAGACGCGCCCGCCATCAGAGCTTGGCCTCGCTGAGCACAATGTTGGCGGTGACGAAGAAGAAGCAGGAGAAGGCCCAGAGCAGCACGAAGCCCACCCAGAAGGTGTGGTGGAACGGGGACCTGTGCTTGCTGACGGTCCCGGGGCCGAAGGCCAGCTGGGTGTCCTTGCGGCAGTGGTACACCAGGAAGGCGGGGACGACGTACTGGATGCCGGTGCCTGCGTAGGCCCCCGTGATGCCCACCAGGGACTCTAGGTCGTGGGTGCAGAAGGCCACCAGCACCGGGGGCACCAGGGTGATGGTGGGGAACACCACGCGGTCCACGACCCAGGGGTACGTGCCCCCCTCCCGGTGGAACAGGGTCTTCCAGTTGTTCCGCAGGGTCACGGCGATGATGGGGAAGTTGGTGCTGATGGTGAAGACGGGGAAGAGACCCAGGAAGAAGCGCACGGCGGCCACGCCCACGATGTCGCAGCTGGCGAAGTTGAGAGTGTACATGTCCAGCAGGCTGTCGCCGCGGAAGCAGAAGATGGCGGTGAAGGAGAGGAGGCCGTAGAAGGCCAGGATCAGCACGTAGTCCAAGAAGACCAGGCGCGTGAGGTGCCGCTTGGAGGAGACGGGCGTGATGAGGGACGGCAGCGAGTGCTGGCACATGAAGGAGTACACGCACACCCCGAACAGGTTCCGGACCCCGGACAGGTCGGCCAGGGGCGGGTGCCCCTCCCCGTGGCCACGTCCGATGCGGACCAGGGCCAGCACGATCATGATGGCGAACGCTGGGAAACGAGAGAGATGTCAGCCAGCAAAGCGAGGAACAGCCCCACTCGGGACAGAGTCTGCTCTGGGGGCACCTGCTGAGAGACCGGAGCCCCACGAGTAAGGATCATTCAGTTCAGGTGACCCCAATGCCACATTCTGGGGCAGGTCAGCAGTGGCTAGTGGTCTCATGAATATCCCGGCGCCCCCTCTCCATGTCCTGTTCAGCCCCCCCCCCACCAGCAGATAAAGGAAGGTGCCTCTGGGGTCGGGCCTGGGTACGGTAGGAGGGTGGCCGGGCACCGCCCGCTTCCCCATCGGCCCCCGGGGGCTCTCTTGGGGCTCCGCCAGCCTCCTGGCAGGGAGCAGTCCTGGGCCAGGACTTAGGACGTTTGGGAGGAGCTGTCCTCCTGGGCTGACACCGGGCAGGAAGGTGCCCGTGGCCACGCGAGGGAAGAAATGGCACCGAGGACCAATGCGGGGCTCACCGCACACGGCCGTCCGCCGGGCCTGCTGCAGAAGGGGACGAGACCTGTGACCCCGACTGCTCAGAGCAAACACGGTCCAGGCTGGCTTCGCCTTCCACAGCCCCGCTGGGTCCCCCGCCCGCCTCCCAGGTGGTGTTCCGGAACATAACCCCCCCCCAGGACAGACTCCTCTCTGAGTCTCTGGCTTCTTGAGTCTGCCACCCGGATTACCCACCACCTCTGCCGTTCGCCCCTCGGCACACACGGGGACCAGCGGTGGCCCTGTCTCTAGTTTGGGAGCTCACAAGCCAGTTTTCTCTGCTCGGACCAGCCCCGAAAGCCCCTCTAGCCTGTGCCCCAGCCCCCCAGGTAAAGACCACTGCGAGGGCCCTGGCCGGTTTGGCTCAGCGGTTAGAGCGTCGGCCTGCGGTCCTGAGAGACCCGGGTTCGGTTCCCGCTAAGGGCACGTACCTCGGTTGCAGTTTGTCCCCGGCCCTGGTCGGTTGTGTGGGTGGCAGCCACTCGATGTGTCCCTTTCACGTCGATGTTTCTCTCTCTCTCTCTGTTCCTCTCTCTCCCTCCCACTCTACCTGAACAAAAAATGGAAAAATGTCCTCGGGTGAGGATAAAAAAAAAAAAAAGAAAAAAAAGACCACTGCGAGGCTGGGGGCCTCCTCACTGTCCCCTTCAGGCCACGTCACACCCCGGCTCCCTTCTCCTGGGACTCACAGGAAGCCAGGCTGTCTTCCCAAAATGACACTTGGAAGTGGGACGGGCGGGAATACCATCTATTACTTTAAATCAGAGCCGCCTGACACCGCCAGGGACGGGGGGAGGGAGAGGGAACAGGCCTGTGGAAATTGCCAATAAAGATGATTTGTTTCGGACTCTCGGCCGCCCCAGTGCTGCCGCTCCGGACACCAAGGCCCCAAGACGCCCCAGTGCTGCTGCCCCTGACACCAAGGCCCCACGACGCCCCAGTGCTGCCGCTCCTGACACCAAGGCCCCAAGACGCCCCAGTGCTGCCGCCCCTGACACCAAGGCCCCAAGACGCCCCAGTGCTGCCGCCCCTGACACCAAGGCCCCAAGACGCCCCAGTGCTGCCGCTCCGGACACCAAGGCCCCAAGACGCCCCAGTGCTGCCGCCCCTGACACCAAGGCCCCACGACGCCCCAGTGCTGCCGCTCCTGACACCAAGGCCCCAAGACGCCCCAGTGCTGCCGCCCCTGACACCAAGGCCCCACGACGCCCCAGTGCTGCCGCTCCTGACACCAAGGCCCCAAGACGCCCCAGTGCTGCCGCCCCTGACACCAAGGCCCCACGACGCCCCAGTGCTGCCGCTCCGGACACCAAGGCCCCAAGACGCCCCAGTGCTGCCGCCCCTGACACCAAGGCCCCACGACGCCCCAGTGCTGCCGCTCCTGACACCAAGGCCCCAAGACGCCCCAGTGCTGCCGCCCCTGACACCAAGGCCCCAAGACGCCCCAGTGCTGCCGCTCCGGACACCAAGGCCCCACGACGCTCCCTGCCCCAGGGACGTCGCAGCTCCTGCCGGCTCTGCTCAGTCAAGGGGAAAGCACGGACCCACTTGAGTGTGCAGCCCAGGAGCTGCCTCTGGCTTAACCCAGGGTGTTGGGGGACGTGTGGCAGGACACCCCATGGGGCTCCCTGCTCTTCAGGATGCCCAGGACCCCGGCAGTCTGCCTCGTTGTTTCTGGGGGTGCACGCAGGGCAGAGACCAGCGTGGAAGAGCAGAATCACAGAGTGTGCTGGGGCGGGAAGGAGGGGAGGGGACCAGGGGAAAGGCTGGATGGGGTGGAGGTGGGGTCTCCCGTGCCAGCGACTCTGTCCGGGCCAGAGAGGGTCATAAAGCAGAGCTGGGAGGGTGGGGTGGCTACCTTGGGAAGACTGGGGGCCCGGGGCTGCCTGGTGACTAGCAATTCAAGAGGCTGCAGCTGACAGCTGTCACACAGGCAGGGCACTGGGGTCGGCGCGGGTGGGGGGGGGCGGTGCTGTACAGCGAGATTCAATCCTGCTGTGCTCTCCTGTCTCGGGTGCCCCTCTGACCTGGTGCTACTCCCGGCTGGACGCAGAATAAGGCAAGTGCAGAGGTGCCCTAGCGACCTGCTTGCCTTGGCCTTGGGCCCGGGAGTGGGGAGCACGTGAGGGGGCAGGAGTGGGCTGTCGGGAGGTGCTCTCCCCGCTGGGGTGCTGGCCCCTGCTCCTCTCCTCCTCAGCCCTAAGTCTCCAAGGGGGGGCAGGGGGTGGATGGAAACTGGCTTGTGAGCTGTCTGGGCAGCCCTGAGGGGCTCTGCTTCCTGCGAATAAACCAGTTTGTGAAGCAGGTTTCCAAAGATGGGAGACTGACTTTTAAAGCGTGCTGCCCCGCCCCCACTCACATGGTGCCTCACGTCCCTGTGGGTGATAACACTTATCTCACAATCTTGTCTATAATTAGTTTCAGCAAACAGTGCTCTTACCCCGATTCGCCACCCATCTCCTTTTCCTAATCAAACAAGTCTATTCCCAAACCGGAAACCAGTCTCCCTTCAAAGGCGGGACGTCCAGGCCGAGGCCCTGGGGAGGCAACTCCGGGGGCATTAGGCAGTGGCCCAGCAGCCTTTGGTGGCCTCGGGCAAGGACAGGGTCTGCGGGGCCCCTGCCCACTGTGAAGACACGGCGCTGTGCCGCGCTGCTGGCAGGAGTGAAGAGGGAGGGGACATGCTCCAGGTGGTCTCCCAGCCAGCAAGCGGAAAACACACCAGACGCCCTACATGCAGTGCCGCTATGGGGGGACGGGGGAGGGGAGATATGGGGGGGAGGGGAGGGATAGGCGGGGGGGAGGGGGGAGGGGGGAGGGGACAAGCTCCACGTGGTCTCCCAGCCAGCAGGGGAAAACACACCAGCAGCCCTACACGCAGTGCCGCTATGGGGGGACAGGGGAGGGGAGGGATAGGCGGGGGGGGGGGGGGGAGGGAAGGAGGCGGCAGGGCCCCGCATGGGCAGCTCTGACTCTGAGGGACCCTGGGACTAGAGGATGAGGACTGAGCCCCCCATGCCGCCCGGCCCCTCCCTTGTGACCACACTCCTCTGCCTGCCTCCCGCCCTCGGCTGCTGGAGGAGCAGAGCCCCACATCCACCCTTAGATGGATGGCCGGTCCCCGGGAGATAGCTGCTCCAGAAACGCACCTGGTGCGGCAGTAAATCAAGATGCAGATGACGGGCTGTGAGCGACAGGAAGCGTGATGGGGAGGGGCCAGGCCGCACTGCCACCTGGCTGAGGCGACAGGGACACGGAGGGACAGAGCAGTGAGAGCTCCCCGACATCTCAGTGACCAGGGCCTGCACGTCCCTGAAGGCAGGGCTGGCCTCAGCCTCCCTGACCCCCACAGGCCACAGTCCACACCCATCCAAGGGGTCAGCAGAGGCAGTGAGTGGCCAGGGAGGAGTCTGTGTGGGGGAGGAGAGGGCCGGACACATGTCACATGAGGAGTGGCTGCTGGGCCTCTCGAGGTGACGAGGTGGGACAGGAGCCTTCTCTTGTAACCTCTGAAGCAACAGCCCATGTAAAGATCACTGCACTCATTCTGTGTGACGTATGGGCTCACCTGGGACCATTCACTCATTCACCAGAGACGGCCCAGGGCCCACTGGGCCTTCCGGAACCTACAGTCCACAGGGACCAGAGGGCAAAGTTACAGGAGACAAATGACAATGAGAAAGAACTGGTTAACAGCCACATGAGCTGCTGGGGCAGATGCTGAGATCTCTGTCGTGGGAGGTGTCCAAGGCCACGGCAGGTGACCCCTGGGGGTCGGCAGAACCTGATGCAGAGAAACCTGGGGGCCGCACACTCCCTCTGGGTGCAGGAGAAGCGTGATGCAGTTGCGCGGGAACCGCAGCCCGAGCGTCACTCAGTCTCCAGACGCTGCCCCGCTGCCCCGCCTGGGACTGGCCTGAAGCGTCCGTCGTCCTGACAGCTGCTCGGAGCAGGAGCACCGCATCGATCCCGAGGTGCAGCCGGCTCCCCGCTCTCCCGCACACCTGACTCCTCCGGAGGGAGGCAGGAGCGACAGCGAGTCCTTATCTCGTGCGGATTCTGAGCCGAGCAGACAGCTTCCAGAAGCCGTCTCCGGCCCCCGTGAGGAGGGCAGGGGGAAAGTAAGACTTGCATCAGGACCGACCATCTGAGACACAGTCAGGACGGGCGTGGGGCCGGGGAGAGGTCGGCGGGTCACAGCCATGTCAGCTTTCCGTCACAGGGACCTCAGCAACGGCAAGCGTGCCGGTCAAGGTAGCGTTTTACATCGAGGTGCGTTCTCACATTTGACCGTCATCAACCAGGCGCTGAAGACGTCAGGAGAAACACCGCTGTCCAGTCGCCTCCTGTCCCTCTGGCCTTTGCAGGAGGAAGTGGCTAAGCCGGGCCTCCCGGCTGTTTATCTGTCTGGCCTCAAGGCCTCTCTCCTTCGCAGAGCAGGGCAGGTGAGCTGACAGACGAAACCCCAAATCTGGCAGCGCTCAGCCTCTCCTGGTCCCCGCCCTTCCCGGAC